GAGACTGCTGGGGGGGCTACGAGACACCGCAGAGACAGGTGAGAGACTGCTGGGGGGCTACGAGACACCGCAGAGACAGGTGAGAGACTGCTGGGGGGGCTACGAGACACCGCAGAGACAGGTGAGAGACTGCTGGGGGGGCTACGAGACACCGCAGAACAGGTGAGAGACTGCTGGGGGGCTACGAGACACCGCAGAGACAGGTGAGAGACTGCTGGGGGGGGGCTACGAGACACCGCAGAGACAGGTGAGACTGCTGGGGGGCTGAGAGACCGCAGAGACAGGGAGAGACTGCTGGGGGGGGCTACGAGACACCGCAGAGACAGGTGAGAGACTGCTGGGGGGGCTACGAGACACCGCAGAGACAGGTGAGAGACTGCTGGGGGGCTACGAGACACCGCAGAGACAGGTGAGAGACTGCTGGGGGGCTACGAGACACCGCAGAGACAGGTGAGAGACTGCTGGGGGGGGCTACGAGACACCGCAGAGACAGGTGAGAGACTGCTGGGGGGGCTACGAGACACCGCAGAGACAGGTGAGAGAGACTGCTGGGGGGGCTACGAGACACCGCAGAGACAGGTGAGAGACTGGGGACTGCTGGGGGGGCTACGAGACACCGCAGAGACAGGTGAGAGACTGCTGGGGGGGCTACGAGACACCGCAGAGACAGGTGAGAGACTGCTGGGGGGGGGCTACGAGACACCGCAGAGACAGGTGAGAGACTGCTGGGGGGGGGCTACGAGACACCGCAGAGACAGGTGAGAGACTGCTGGGGGGGCTACGAGACACCGCAGAGACAGGTGAGAGACTGCTGGGGGGGCTACGAGACACCGCAGAGACAGGTGAGAGACTGCTGGGGGGGCTACGAGACACCGCAGAGACAGGTGAGAGACTGCTGGGGGGGCTACGAGACACCGCAGAGACAGGTGAGAGACTGCTGGGGGGGGCTACGAGACACACCGCAGAGACAGGTGAGAGACTGCTGGGGGGCTACGAGACACCGCAGAGACAGGTGAGACTGCTGGGGGGGCTACGAGACACCGCAGAGACAGGTGAGAGACTGCTGGGGGGCTACGAGACACCGCAGAGACAGGTGAGAGACTGCTGGGGGGCTACGAGACACCGCAGAGACAGGTGAGAGACTGCTGGGGGGCTACGAGACACCGCAGAGACAGGTGAGAGACTGCTGGGGGGGCTACGAGACACCGCAGAGACAGGTGAGAGACTGCTGCTGGGGGGGCTACGAGACACCGCAGAGACAGGTGAGAGACTGCTGGGGGGGCTACGAGACACCGCAGAGACAGGTGAGAGACTGCTGGGGGGGCTACGAGACACCGCAGAGACAGGTGAGAGACTGCTGGGGGGCTACGAGACACCGCAGAGACAGGTGAGAGACTGCTGGGGGGGGCTACGAGACACCGCAGAGAGACAGGTGAGAGACTGTGAGAGACTGGGGGGGGCTACGAGACACCGCAGAGACAGGTGAGAGACTGCTGGGGGGGCTACGAGACACCGCAGAGACAGGTGAGAGACTGCTGGGGGGGCTACGAGACACCGCAGAGACAGGTGAGAGACTGCTGGGGGGCTACGAGACACCGCAGAGACAGGTGAGAGACTGCTGGGGGGCTACGAGACACCGCAGAGACAGGTGAGAGACTGCTGGGGGGGCTACGAGACACCGCAGAGACAGGTGAGAGAGACTGCTGGGGGGCTACGAGACACCGCAGAGACAGGTGAGAGACTGCTGGGGGGGCTACGAGACACCGCAGAGACAGGTGTGAGAGACTGCTGGGGGGGGCTACGAGACACCGCAGAGACAGGTGAGAGACTGCTGGGGGGCTACGAGACACCGCAGAGACAGGTGAGACTGCTGGGGGGCTACGAGACACCGCAGAGACAGGAGAGACAGGTGAGACTGCTGGGGGGGCTACGAGACACCGCAGAGACAGGTGAGAGACTGCTGGGGGGGGCTACGAGACACCGCAGAGACAGGTGAGAGACTGCTGGGGGGGCTACGAGACACCGCAGAGACAGGTGAGAGACTGCTGGGGGGGCTACGAGACACCGCAGAGACAGGTGAGAGACTGCTGGGGGGGCTACGAGACACCGCAGAGACAGGTGAGAGACTGCTGGGGGGCTACGAGACACCGCAGAGACAGGTGAGACTGCTGGGGGGCTACGAGACACCGCAGAGAGACAGGTGAGAGACTGCTGGGGGGGCTACGAGACACCGCAGAGACAGGTGAGAGACTGCTGGGGGGGCTACGAGACACCGCAGAGACAGGTGAGAGACTGCTGGGGGGGGCTACGAGACACCGCAGAGACAGGTGAGAGACTGCTGGGGGGCTACGAGACACCGCAGAGACAGGTGAGAGACTGCTGGGGGGGCTACGAGACACCGCAGAGACAGGTGAGAGACTGCTGGGGGGCTACGAGACACCGCAGAGACAGGTGAGAGACTGCTGGGGGGGGGCTACGAGACACCGCAGAGACAGGTGAGAGACTGCTGCTGGGGGGCTACGAGACACCGCAGAGACAGGTGAGAGACTGCTGGGGGGGCTACGAGACACCGCAGAGACAGGTGAGAGACTGCTGGGGGGCTACGAGACACCGCAGAGACAGGTGAGAGACTGCTGGGGGGCTACGAGACACCGCAGAGACAGGTGAGAGACTGCTGGGGGGGGGCTACGAGACACCGCAGAGACAGGTGAGAGACTGCTGGGGGGGCTACGAGACACCGCAGAGACAGGTGAGAGACTGCTGGGGGGGCTACGAGACACCGCAGAGACAGGTGAGAGACTGCTGGGGGGCTACGAGACACCGCAGAGACAGGTGAGCGACTGCTGGGGGGCTACGAGACACCGCAGAGACAGGTGAGAGACTGCTGGGGGGGCTACGAGACACCGCAGAGACAGGTGAGAGACTGCTGGGGGGGCTACGAGACACACCGCAGAGACAGGTGAGACTGCTGGGGGGCTACGAGACACCGCAGAGACAGGTGAGAGACTGCTGGGGGGGCTACGAGACACCGCAGAGACAGGTGAGAGACTGCTGGGGGGCTACGAGACACCGCAGAGACAGGTGAGAGACTGCTGGGGGGGGCTACGAGACACCGCAGAGACAGGTGAGAGACTGCTGGGGGGGGCTACGAGACACCGCAGAGACAGGTGAGAGACTGCTGGGGGGGCTACGAGACACCGCAGAGACAGGTGAGAGACTGCTGGGGGGCTACGAGACACCGCAGAGACAGGTGAGAGACTGCTGGGGGGGCTACGAGACACCGCAGAGACAGGTGAGAGACTGCTGGGGGGGGGCTACGAGACACCGCAGAGACAGGTGAGAGACTGCTGGGGGGGGCTACGAGACACCGCAGAGACAGGTGAGAGACTGCTGGGGGGGCTACGAGACACCGCAGAGACAGGTGAGAGACTGCTGGGGGGCTACGAGACACCGAGAGACAGGTGAGAGACTGCTGGGGGGCTACGAGACACCGCAGAGACAGGTGAGAGACTGCTGGGGGGGCTACGAGACACCGCAGAGACAGGTGAGAGACTGCTGGGGGGGCTACGAGACACCGCAGAGACAGGTGAGAGACTGCAGTTCCCTTTTATATGTCATGTTTTCTTCCCTCAGATCTTGCTACGAACAGAAACTGAACAAAAGACGGTGAGAACCGACCTAATGCAACCCATCCATCCATCATCCATCCATCATTGTATCCATCCATCATATCCATCCATCCATCATCCATCCATCCATCCATTCCATCCATCATATCCATCCATACATCCATCCATATGTCTCCATCCATCCATCATATCCATCCATCCATCCATCATATCCATCCATCCATCATATCCATCCATCCATCATATCCATCCATCATATCCATCCATCCATCATATCCATCCATCCATCCATCCAATCCATCATATCCATCCATCCATCCATCCATCCGATCTATCCATCCATCCATCCAATCCCCATCCATCCATCCATCCATATCTATCCATCCATCCATCCATCCATCCATCATATGTATCCATCCATCCATTGTATGTTACCTCCATATCTATCTATCCATTGTACCAGCCATGACCTCCATGTGCTCCTCACACAATCCCCATTGTACCAGCCATGACCTCCATGTGCTCCTCACAATCACCATTGTACCAGCCATGACCTCCATGTGCTCCACACACAATCACCATTGTACAGCCATGACCTCCATGTGCTCCACACACAATCCCCATTGTACCAGCCATGACCTCCATGTGCTCCTCACACAATTCCCATTGTACCGGCCATGACCTCCATGTGCTCCACACACAATCACCATTGTACCAGCCATGACCTCCATGTGCTCCACACACAATCCCCATTGTACCGGCCATGACCTCCATGTGCTCCTCACAATCATCATTGTACCGGCCATGACCTCCATGTGCTCCTCACACAATCCCCATTGTACCGGCCATGACCTCCATGTGCTCCTCACACAATCCCCATTGTACCGGCCATGACCTCCATGTGCTCCTCACACAATCACCATTGTACCAGCCATGACCTCCATGTGCTCCACACACAATCACCATTGTACCAGCCATGACCTCCATGTGCTCCTCACACAATTCCCATTGTACCGGCCATGACCTCCTTGTGCTCCTCACACAATTCCCATTGTACCAGCCATGACCTCCATGTGCTCCTCACAATCACCATTGTACCAGCCATGACCTCCATGTGCTCCACACACAATCACCATTGTACCAGCCATGACCTCCATGTGCTCCTCACAATCGTCATTGTATAGTGTATGACCCATTTCCTTTCTTCTAGAGCCTGAAAACGAAGCCCTCCAAGGGGCAGAACAAGAGAAAAAATCAGAGGAAAAGCTGTGATTTACCAACCAATAACTTCTCTGACGAAGCCTCCAAAGAACAGACAGAAAACTCCACCCACAAAGAACTGGAGCCTTGCCTTTGAGGAGCAGAATTGCCATGGCAGTACCAAGGACTTTCCTGATCCTCCTTGTCACAGAGCTGACACTCATCTCTTCAGAAAGGCTTTTCCATGCCCGGGATCGCTCTGATATCCAGACGAGGCCAAGGGATAAAGCCGACTCCATCCTTACAAGAGAATATGCTCAGGTATCCGTCTATCCATATCTCTAAATGTAGGTGTGAGTCTGCTGGAGACCTATCCAGGTACTTTGTATCCATTAAAGGACGACCCTACTCCTAACACCCCCCCCCCCTCCTACCGGGGGCACCAATCATATAAAACTAATGCCACCAGTCACAAGAAGCCAGGATTTTCCTGTGTCCACCATAGTACACCCAGAGCAGCCATCTTGTATGTCTCTAGTAGGTGATGGAAATGTAGAACAATTCATCTGATCAGTGATACTCAAGCTATAGAGCCCATCATATACCCAACAAGGCAGACCTAGGTAAGCTATCCTGCAGGCCCTCCATCTAGTGAGCGATATCTTCTGAAGGAGGAAACATGCCCGGGTCTATAAGCTGTGCTGAAGGCCCTTCATCTAGTGAGGGATGTCTTCTGCAGGAGGAAACATGCCCTGGACTATAAGCTGTCCTGCAGACCCTCCATCTAGTGAGGATATCTTCTGCAGGAGGAAACATGCCCTGGACTATAAGCTGTCCTGCAGACCCTCCATCTAGTGAGGGATGTCTTCTGCAGGAGGAAACATGCCTGGACTATAAGCTGTCCTGCAGACCCTCCATCTAGTGAGGGATATCTTCTGCAGGAGGAAACATGCCCTGGACTATAAGCTGTCCTGCAGACCCTCCATCTAGTGAGGGATATCTTCTGCAGGAGGAAACATGCCCTGGTCTATAAGCTGTCCTGCAGGCCCTCCATCTAGTGAGGGATATCTTCTGCAGGAGGAAACATGCCCGGGTCTATAAGCTGTCCTGCAGACCCTCCATCTAGTGAGGGATATCTTCTGCAGCAGGAAACATGCCGGGTCTATAAGCTGTCCTGCAGACCCTCCATCTAGTGAGGGATATCTTCTGCAGCAGGAAACATGCCCTGGTCTATAAGCTGTCCTGCAGACCCTCCATCTAGTGAGGGATATCTTCTGCAGGAGGAAACATGCCCTGGACTATAAGCTGTCCTGCAGGACCTCCATCTAGTGAGGGATATCTTCTGCAGCAGGAAACACTCCCTGGTCTATAAGCTGTCCTGCAGGCCCTCCATCTAGTGAGGGATATCTTCTGCAGCAGGAAACATGCTCGGGTCTATAAGCTGTCCTGCAGACCCTCCATCTAGTGAGGGATATCTTCTGCAGCAGGAAACATGCCCTGGTCTATAAGCTGTCCTGCAGGCCCTCCATCTAGTGAGGGATATCTTCTGCAGCAGGAAACACGCCCTGGTCTATAAGCTGTCCTGCAGACCCTCCATCTAGTGAGGGATATCTTCTGCAGCAGGAAACATGCTCGGGTCTATAAGCTGTCCTGCAGACCCTCCATCTAGTGAGGGATATCTTCTGCAGCAGGAAACACTCCCTGGTCTATAAGCTGTCCTGCAGACCCTCCATCCAGTGAGGGATATCTTCTGCAGGAGGAAACATGCCCTGGACTGGTCCTGAGGGACTCTTTCTGGCTTCACCTTTCTGCCTTATAACGTATATATCATTTCCTAAAACCCATCTCCACAGCTCTGAGCTCCTACTGGGAGGATTTCACTCTTCCATGTTCCAGGCACCCCCTCATCCCGCTCCTTTGTGGAACTCCAACCTGAACATTCTTTAGTTTTGGATGGAGAGGCAAGAAGGTTGGAAGCTCTGTCCGGGTCCCTGCTAGGGGGATTTTCTCTTACTTCTTGCTTCAGTCACACCTCGTACAAGGTCAGGAAGTGAGAGGAAAACTACCTGCTGGGCAAACCAAAAGCACTAAGGATCTAACCCAGCTTTTCTCAATTTTTTAATCCACAGGAGCCCTCAAAATAATTTTCCAGGTCTTGGGGAACCTTTGCTAAATACCAAAGAATTAGTGGTCAATGGGAACATGTACAATGGTGGACAAAGTGCCACCAGGGCTGGGACAAGGTAGAAGCAGGATGGGGCGGCTGCCCCTGGCGCACTGAACTCATGTGGGGGAGGGGGGGTACCACAGGGCGAGTTCTCACCACTACAGCGGGGGGGGATTTGGGGGAGGTTGATTTGTTCTAGGAGGGGGGATTGGGGGTAGAGGGTTTGTGCTGGAGGGAGAATTGGGGGTTTTGTGCTAAGAGGGGGGATTTGTGGGGGAAGAAATGTGCTAGGAATGGGATTAGGGGGAGCAAATGTGTTGGGAGGAGTGATTTTTAGGGGGGGGGGGGGGGAGTTGTGCTAAAAGGGGGTGGGGCCGGGCGTGAATTTGAGCTGGAAGGCGTGGATTAAGAGGCAAAGATTTGGGCTGGTAGAGGGATTTCTAGTGGGGGAGAACTTTGGCTTGAAAGGAATTTATATTTAGGGGATGATCGTGCGGTGTAGTGTTGGGTGTTTTCTGGGGTGGAGGGAGGGTATTTTCCCTGAGACATGATGCTCACACAATGGGGGCGGGGTGGGGCACAGTTTATAATCTTAGTATATAACTCTCCTCCACACGGGGTGAAATCCATAGTAATTGATGATTATGAGCGGATTCCTCATCCTAGTCCCCCTCAGGTCACACTGACGTTTTCAGTCTCTTCTCATATTTCTCTACAGAACTATCTCTGGAAATATGGCTGGATTGAACCAGTCCTCTGGGACTCTTTGCCATTCCGTGGAGTTCCAGCAGCTTCAGAGGAGAATGTTGCCCCTCCAGATATTTCCACCCTTCTGAGTGAAGGACAATCACCATCTGCCCAGCCAGAGACTCATCGAGGTCCAGAACCAACACTAAACCCAAGATTTGTCGGAGCATTGCAAAGATTCCAGGAGGCCAATGGGCTGAGAGTAACGGGGGAGCTGGATGATGCCACGCGGGAGGCCATGAACGCTCCCCGCTGCGGGGTTCCTGACCGCAAGGTCACAGATGTAGAAAAATTAGATAAAGTCAACAGACTCAACAATGACCCCTCAAAGGATGAGGCTGAAGACCCAAATCTAACCAACATAGCTTCCACCATCTCTACTAATGAACTTAAGACACAAGTTCTTCCACAGGAAGAAAAATAACCTGGACCTCCGACTGTCACAACATGTCAGGAAAAAGCGGAGTCACCTCCCAAAATCTGGGAAAAAAAAGGGGGGCCTTTTCAAAGCCAACGATAAAGTGGAGGCTCCTGGGTGAAGGCTACAGCGTGTGGCTAACTATCGACCAGCAACGTTCCATATTAATGCGTGCATTCCGAATCTGGAGTGAGGTGGTTCCCCTCAACTTCGAAGAGGACCTGACCTCTCCGGCCCATCTTATCGACATCAAGTTGGGTTTTGGGACCCGTGAGTATTTTTCAGTTATATCTCATTACTTATACAGGGGAGGATGGCTGGGCGCACTATAGGTCAGTTGCCATTAAAGGGACAGTTTGTAAAAGTTGAAATTACTATTTTGCCATATTTTATGTCTCTTTTGCAGTTTGCCATCATAACTTTTTCCAAATTCAATGTCAATAGAGGGACAAAAAAAAAATAAAATGGTCAACGGCGACCATACTTTGGAAACGTTTATATATTAATAAATGGTCAACCTTTCCTGCTTTGGAGAGATGTCTGCCATACTGCCCTTGAGACAAGCCAGTCTTGGTGTCCTGGGGTCAAGCCCTGGAGGAAGTCATAGTGTCATGGTCCTTGGGGAAGTCAAGTCATGGGGTCAAGCCCTGGAGGAAGTCATAGTGTCCTGGGGAGGAAATCATAGCCCTGGGGAGGAAGTCATAGATAATGTAATAGTGTCCTGGGGACAAGTCATGGATCATAGTGGGGGTCAAGCCTTGGAGGAAGTCATAGTGTCCTGGGGACAAGTCATGGATGAAGTCCTAGTGTCCTGGGGACAGGTCATGGATGTAGTCACAGTGTCCTGGGGACAAGTCATGGATGTAGTCATAATGTCCTGAAGATAAGTCATGGATGGATGAAGTCATAGTGTACTGGGGACAAGTCATGGATGATGTCATAGTGTCATGGGGTCAAGCCCTGGATAAAGTCCTAGTGTCCTGGGGTCAAGTCATGGATAAAGCCCTAGTGTCCTGGGGACAAGTCATGGATAAAGTCCTAGTGTCCTGGGGACAGGTCATGGATAAAATCATAGTGTCCTGGGGACAGGTCATGGATGTAATCAGTGTCCTGGGGACAAAGCATCATGACGTCTGTCCTGGGGACAAGTCATGGATGTAGTCATAGTGTCCTGGGGACAAGTCATGGATGTAGTCATAGTGTTCTGGGGACAAGACATGGATGTAGTCACAGTGTCCTGGGACAAGTCATGGATGAAGTCATAGTGTTCTGGGGACAAGACATGGATGTAGTCATAGTGTCTGGGGACAAGACATGGATGTAGTCACAGTGTCCTGGGGACAAGTCATGGATGAAGTCATAGTGTTCTGGGGACAAGACATGGATGTAGTCACAGTGTCCTGGGGACAAGTCATGGATGAAGTCATAGTGTTCTGGGGACAAGACATGGATGTAGTCATAGTGTTCTGGGGACAAGACATGGATGTAGTCATAGTGTTCTGGGGACAAGACATGGATGTAGTCATAGTGTTCTGGGGACAAGACATGGATGTAGTCATAGTGTCCTGGGGACAAGTCATGGATGAAGTCATAGTTTCCTGGGGACAAGTCATGGATGTAGTCCTGTCCTGGAGATAAGTCATGGATGGATGAAGTCATAGTGTCCTGGGGACAAGTCATGGATGATGTCATAGTGTCATGGGTCAAGCCCTGGATAAAGTCATAGTGTCCTGGGGACAAGTAATGGATAAAATCATAGTGTCCTGGGGTCAAGCCCTGGAGGAAAGTCATAGTGTCCTGGGGAGGAAGTCATAGGTCCTGCGGTCAAGCCCTGGAGGAAGTCACAGTGTCCTGGGGACAGGTCATGGATGTAGTCACAATGTCCTGGGGACAAGTCATGGATGTAGTCATAGTGTCCTGGGGACAGGTCATGGATGTAGTCACAATGTCCCTGGGGACAAGTCATGGATGTAGTCACAATGTCCTGGGGACAAGTCATGGATGTAGTCATAGTGTCCTGGGGACAAGTTATGGATGTAGTCAGGGATGATGGGGACAATTCAGTCATAGTGTCCTGGGGACAAGTCAGGGATGAAGTCAAGTGTCCTGGGGACAAGTCATGGATAAAGTAATAGTGTCCTGGGGACAGGTCATGGATGTCCTAGTGTCCTGGGGACAAGTCATGGATAAAGTCCTAGTGTCCTGGGGACATATGGATAAAGTCCTAGTGTCTGGGGACAAGTCATGGATAAAGTCCTAGTGTCATATGGATGTCCTAGTGTCCTGGGGACAGGTCAAAAGCCCTGGGGACAGGTCATGGATAAAGTCATAGTGTCCTGGGGACAGTCATGGATAAAGTCCTAGTGTCCTGGGGACAGGTCATGGATAAAGTCCTAGTGTCCTGGGGGGACAGGTCATGGATAAAGTCCTAGTGTCCTGGGACAGGTCATGGATAAAGTCCTAGTGTCCTGGGACAGGTCATGGATAAAGTCCTAGTGTCCTGGGGACAGGTCATGGATGTAGTCAGTGTCCTGGGGACAAAGCATGGATGACGTCTGTCCTGGGGACAAGGACATAGTGTTCTGGGGACAAGGACATGGATGTAGTCACAGTGTCCTGGGGACAAGACATGGATGTAGTCACAGTGTCCTGGGACAAGTCATGGATGAAGTCATAGTTTCCTGGGGACAAGTCATGGATGTAGTCATAATGTCCTGGAGACAAGTCATGGATGGATGAAGTCATAGTGTCCTGGGGACAAGTCATGGATGATGTCATAGTGTCCTGGGGACAAGTAATGGATAAAACATAGTGTCCTGGGGTCAAGCCCTGGAGGAAGACATAGTGTCTTGGGGAGGAAGTCATAGTGTCCTGCGGTCAAGCACTGGAGGAAGTCATAGTGTCCTGGGGACAGTCATGGATGTAGTCACAATGTCCTGGGGACAAGTCATGGATGTAGTCATAGTGTCCTGGGGACAAGTTATGGATGTAGTCATGGTATGATGGGGACAAGTCATGGATGAAGTCAGTGTCCTGGGGACAAGTCAGGGATGAAGTCATAGTGTCCTGGGGACAAGTCAGGGATATAGTTAGTGTCATACACAGCCTCATGTTATTGTCAGATCTGATCCATCCGGTTCATTGATACAATAAAACACATCAGGTCCATTGAACTCCCATGATGGCTGAAATTCCACAAGCTGCAGATTTCTTGACGCTCAATGATATGGTCTTCCCTCTCATTTGTCCTTCAGGCCGCCATCTTGGCTGCTCTCAGCTCTTTGATGGGATGGGCAGGGAGTTCGCACACGCCTGGCAACTTGGTGACATCCACTTTGATGATGATGAACATTTTGTGCCCCCGAACAGTGAGCAGGGGATCAGTCTCCTGAAGGTGAGAGGAGCACAATGATCGTATTGCTGGTTATAGGTCCTAATGCACACACACGAGGACTGGGCAGAGATCGGGATAGTTGTAGGACAAATAAGAATCATTAGTAACCCCCAACAGCTGCCTCCATAACTGACCTTTACAAGAAGGCAATTCCTATATCTAAAGGCTTCGTCCACCCAAGAATGCCTTTCACTTGGAGGTGGAGCATAATGGGTTTGGTCTTTCTATGGCTTCTTTTTGTCTTGTAGCCTTCAGTGATTAGATCTCCTCAGAATAGATTTATTTTCTTGGTTTCTTGAGGTATTCCATGAGATTCATGATAAGTCCAGCCGGCAGATTTGGACACCTTCACAATGGTCACAGCGGGGTTGCAGTCCTGAGGGTTTTGGAATCTTACCACTGGAGCCAATATTGGGTCTACATTAGTCATGAAAACACAGGAAGACCATAATCCGGTCATTGGCCAATGCCACATATATTGCATGCTTGGAGGGTCCTCCCTTCCTGTGGTGTTCAGTTCATGCGTGTCTCATGCAGGTGGCGGTACACGAGATCGGACATGTCCTGGGCCTCAGTCACATGAACGAGATGATGTCAGTTATGCAGCCAAGCTACATCCCAGCCAATAATAAGATGGAGCTGGACATGGTGGACCGCAGAGCCATTCAGAAGATTTATGGTGAGTGATGAGCCTATACAATAAAAAAAAATACAGCTCCCACTGGATCATATTCATCGTAGATTGGAGCTTCACAGATCCCACCAGATCACCTTCAGCAGAGTCTGCAGACTTACAGATCCCACCAGATCACCTTCAGCAGAGTCTGCAGACTTACAGATCCCACCAGATCACCTTCACCAGAGTCTTCAGACTTACAGATCCCACCAGATCACCTTCAGCAGACAGATCCCACCAGATCACCTTCAGCAGTTTGCAGACTTACAGATCCCACCAGATAACCTTCACAGAGTCTTCAGACTTACAGATCCCACCAGATAACCTTCACCAGAGTCTTCAGACTTACAGATCCCACCAGATCACCTTCAGCAGAGTCTGCAGACTTACAGATCCCACCAGATCACCTTCAGCAGAGTCTTCAGACTTACAGATCCCACCAGATCACCTTCACCAGAGTCTTCAGACTTACAGATCCCACCAGATCACCTTCAGCAGTTTTCAGGCTTACAGATCCCACCAGATCATCTTCACCATAGTCTGCAGACTTACAGATCCCACCAGATCACCTTCACCATAGTCTGCAGACTTACAGATCCCACCAGATCACCTTCCTCAGTCTGCAGACTTACAGATCCCACAGATCATAGTCATCATAGTCTTCAGTCTTACATATCCCACCAGATCATAGCCATCATACTTTGCAGATATACAGATTCCACCAGACCATATTTACCACAATCTGCCGACTTACAGATCACCTTCCACATAGTTTGCAGACTTATTGATCCCACCAGATCATCGTCACCATAGTCTGCAGAGATCCTACCAGAA